TTGGATTTAACATAATGCCTAATCTATGTGAGGTAGAGAGACAGTTTGATATCATGGTTAAGACACCAGGCTAGAAACCAGGAGACTGGGAGTTCTAGTTCCACCTAAGGCACAAAGCCAGATGGGCAATCTTGGGCTATTCATTTTCTCTCAGCCCTAAGGAGGCAGATTCTGAAATCTCACCAAGAAAATTTTAGAGACTAGTCCAGGCAGTCACCAGGAGTCAACGTTGATTTGAAGCACACAAATATACAAAATGAAACAAAGTAAATTTCCCTATAGCACTTTGATCTGTTTTCCTCACTTTTTAAAACTTCTCAAAATAGTTCTAAAATAATTGTAGGGCAGGGATTGTGTCAGTTTTTCTTTAAATTCCGGAAAACTTTGTGAAAGGGACAAAATTCTATATAATACCTGACTGCCGTCTGACTGTTTATCATGAACTGGGGCTGTATTGAGCACAATGGAATGATTAAAAGAATTATACGGAGAAACTGTAGCATTAGTCCAGACTATTAGGTATGCCAGCTTGAGTTCCTGAGTAAATGGTAGGTTATAAATCAAATAATTTTTATTTTATTTTAATTTGAGGTTGCCCTCGGCTGGACCTAGAATATTAGAATACTGTTATAGCACTGGTTACAGCTAAGAATGATTTAATATTGATGAATTTATGGATTAAGGATAACATGAATGCAACATCATGGGGATACAATAGATGAGGGAAAAAATATTATGGAACATCTTTGTAACATGGTTAGGTGTAACTGGTCTTTGTTCAGTACATGGATATGTTTTCTGAGGTGTGATGACCAGGAAATCACAATCTTCTTGTAAAACAGTAAGAATTTCAGAGGCAAGCAAGTTAAGAAGATGCTACATCCAAAGACATTTTAACATAAAACGTAAAAGGGTCTTTCATCCTCAAGGATGAAGCAGAGAATCAAGAGATTCATCTCCCCATCATCTAGCAATTGAGTGTTTTGTAATTGGAGGGCTCAGTTGTAATCATACCTTGAGAATTACCTGAATTATAATTCATAGAACTCTTGTAGGTGGTAAACATTATTTAATAGATTAAGTGGTTAATTGACAAACAACGCATGAATATGGATCTAAAACAGTGGTTCTCAACCTGCGGGTCAGGACCCCATTTGGGGTCGAACGACCATTTCACAGAGATCGCCAAACAATGCAGTCCGCCATTTTTTTCCCCTTTTCCTTAGCTGTGCTACTTCCTTTTATTCTATTGGCTTTTGAAAGCCAATAGAATAGACTCTCTTGAATAGAGTCTAATTCTATTGGCTTTCAAAAGCAATAGGAATTGTCCAGGCTGTCTCTGCCCTGCTGAGCCCGCCAAAAGTCCCATTCTGCAAACGGTGCTGCACCAGTTGAGTAGTCCTCGACTTACGACTGGTTGAGTAGTCCTCAACTTACAACCGGTTGGGGGTCGCGGCATTAAAAAGGTTGAGAACCACTGATCTAAAATGATCTCTTCTCCTCTACTGGAAAATGAAGATTTTCTATAACAAATTTTCAAGAACAAGATATTCTCAGGCCTATAGAAAAGATCACATTTTGAATGGTACTTTTCAAAATTTTCCTACAGATTCTACTAAATGAAACAATAAATTTAGAAAGCAGAGAATCAAGAGATTCATCTCCCTATGTAGCTTGCTGAATAACCACTTCTGTATTGTTTACATTGGACACACAATTCAATTATGCCAAAAGGAGGCAATGTACGACACCATCCAGCAATCCCAGCCAGCTAACTAATAATGAGGGATGCTGGAAATTGCAATATTAAATTCAATAACATTCAGAGATCCAGAAGTTGATTACTAGGCCTAGGCAGATCAACAGCAAACTTCCTGTGGTTCCTCCCAAGCATCACGTGTCACTTGGCAGAATTAACATAACACCAGCTAAATTCAATTGTCCCCTTAGATCAGAGGCCCCCAACTTTCTGGGCACCAGGGACTGGTTCCATAGAGAGAGGTTTTACATGGACTGGAAAGTGTGTGGTTTTGTGTGTTGCCAGCATCCCACAGATGGGGCTTTGTTTGTGCAGACCGGTTGCTGGCATACTGCAGCCCGGTACCAGTCCATGGACCGGGGATTGGGGACCCCTGCCTTAGATTCAGTAAGAGGAACTTTGGCACATGCATTGCTAATCATTTGAATTGAAGTGGGACAACCAGTTTTTTATGAAGCCATCACTTGAAAAGGATGCTCAGATTTAGCTTCGATGAAGCAGAATCCTCTTTTGAAATCTCCACAGTTTCATTAGCTATCCCAAACTGAACGTTCTTATCTCTACATGGAGCACATTTAACAATTAATATAATTTCTTTAAAGTCTCACCTGCTCAGCTAGTATAGGATATTATAAAGATCTTGCTTCCTTTGGGGCCTTCCATATCTGATAATGGGTCTGCTGTAAATCTTTGATTTAACAGACCATCTTGGATGAAAATTGGCCATTAAATTATATCAATAAATGTAATTGACATTTATGTCATTAAGGCACCACTTTTAGGTCATTTGTATCACTTTACATAATTATGCAAGTAGCATAACGATGAAAACTGTAAAAATGTCAATTACATAATTATGCAAATAACACCGATTATAACAATTTTCTGGACTGCTGCAATAACAATGAGTTTCACATGCTGTTTGGAGTGAAATCGAAAGAAAAAAAATTGTCCTGTACATCCAAACTGCACTGAATAAAACTGGAAAATCAGTTGGGTTGTTTTGCATTATTTTCTCAAGCTTGGGTTTAACATACTGTAATGTTGCAAGCCCTGCTGGTTTTATTTTGTTTGATCTGTGTCACTTTTAGATGCTTTTAGTCTGGGTTGTCTGTGTGGTTTATCTGATTTTATGGGTGGTGTTGGTTTTGTATACTGTCCAGAGTCCATTAGAAAATGAGCAGAAGAGCTGGAATTGAAACAAGGAATTCTCAATTGTTAGAGAAATGTGCTTCTGGTGCTTTGTAATATGGGACATATGATTCAATATTCACGCTGTGTTTGTTTTTCTTTTTCATGGATCTCTTTTTTACGTTCAGCAGGCCTTTCACTTTTGAAATATTTGCCCTAAGTCGGGTAGGCAACCTTGGCTCTTTTATGACTCGTGGACTTCAACTCCCAGAATTCCTGAGCCAGCATGGCTGACTCAGGAATTCTGGGAGTTGAAATCCACGAGTCATAAAAGAGCCAAGGTTGCCTACCCCTGCCCTAAGTAGAATAAGAAAGTTTTTTAGTACTGTATAGATTAGTTGGAACGGAGCAAAATGACATATTTTGCCACAAACAAATTATGCAATGGCTCACCTATCACAAGCATGCATCAGACGACATAAGCACTGGTGCTAGTGAAGAAAAACAATACTGCTACCACCCAGAAGACAACAACACATTGGCTCTGGATCCAAACACTTTCCAAATTATACATATGTGGTAAAGCTCTTATGGAAATAATGGACAATATTAATAACCTTTTACTTGTATCTAACAAGCAGCCATGTAAAAGTAAGTTATTCCACAATTCATAATATGACCACCTGCTTTTTTCACGGACATGATTTTCCAGTATCTGTAATATCACTTAGAGCAGTGGTTCTCAACCTGTGGATCGGGACCCCATTTGGGGTCGAACGACCATTTCATGGGGGTCGCCAAACAACGCAGTCCACCATTCCCCCCCCTTTTCCTTAGCTGTGCTACTCCCTTTTATTCTATTGGCTTTTGAAAGCCAATAGAATAGACTCTCTTGAATCTATTAGAGTCTAATTCTATTGGCTTTCAAAAGCCAATAGGAATTGTCCGGGCTGTCTCTGCCCTGCTGAGCCCGCCAAAAGTCCCATTCTGCAAACGGTGCTGCACCAGTTGAGTAGTCCTCGACTTACGACCGGTTGAGTAGTCCTCAACTTACAACCGGTTGGGGGTCACGACATTAAAAAGGTTGAGAACCACTGACTTAGAGATAAACATAGTGTATCTATTACTCCTCACAGAGCAGTGCACAGCTTAATATGCTGAGCTTCTGGGGGAAATACAAGATATAAATATAACAAATAAATAAGGTCGAGAAAGCTGTATTAATAATAATATCAAATTAATTAATAATTATAATTAGCAATTAATAATACCATAATAATAAATTATTTAAAACAATTAATAGTACCAAAAACAATGTATGGAGAACATAACAAAATTAGTTCCTTAACTTTTATTATCTTCTCCATTGCCTCTTTCACCCCAACTCATTTCTACTACAGTTCCACAAATCTGTATTTAGCCAAAGTAATTAGAAAGATACACTAATGAAATCTGAGTAGTTCCTGGTTTCTTGAACTTACCTAGCTGTGTGGGGCTTCACAAGACATTCTTTAAATGAACTTTCCTAAGTGGTACCAAAGGCTCTGCAGCAAAACGTCTACACATCAATACCATTCCACCGCCACTGAGTGCTTCTGTACCAGAGACAAATTCCTTATGTGTCTAATCACACTTGGCCAATTCAATTCAATCCAATCCAATCCAATATCTCCACCCAAAGTATTGGAATAGGGAAATGAACTAGTAGCAAAATAATTTTGAGATATGCTTCACACTAGCAGTGATGTGCTTTTGTAGCTCAAAAAGCCACAAGGATAGTAAAAAAAAAAAAATGCCAGAGAAATCTGTGTTATTTTCTTCAATTTTGATATGAATTTTATCATGTGTGAAGTTGTTATCAACACTGAAGTGTGGATTAGTCTCACAATATTATGGTTATACACATTTATCGGATATATTTGAAATCATTGGATTGGGTTCAGACCCGCTTGAATTACTGTAAATCTGGGGGTCAGTCCATAACATCAAATCAGGAACTCTACTTCAGTAAGCCTACAAAAATCATTTTGAGCATCTGTTGCTTTAAAAAATACTAATGCTAAAATGATATAAAAATGGAAATTTAAAAAAATATTCTCTATTTTTTCAGAAACTTTGGAGAATGGACCTAACAAGTGTGAAAGGTGAGTAAAATTTTCCGTTGCCTATTGAATATTGGTGTCCCTACCCTGTGAAGAGTCCTTAGGGCAGTCATTCTCAATCTTGGCAACTTTAAGATGTCAAGATTTCAATTCCTAGAATTCCCCAGCCAGTATGCTGACTGGGGAATTTGGGGAGTTGAGGTTCAGACATTTTAAAGATGCCAAAGCTGAGAAACATTGCATGCTTCTGCTGTCCACATGGCGTTCTCTGTTTAGCAGTTGACTCATTCTTCTGCTTGACTGGAAGCCTATGGGCCAACTGGGAAAGCCTCCAGTTTTCCGGAATATGGGGATGGTTCTTTACCACTTTAGCTTCTTTAACAATAGACACTCTTTTAAATGAAGTGCTGAGCTGCAGCTACTGACCATTGTTTTCTAATGGAGAGCTGTATGAAGAATCAAGATGGAAGGTTGCATTTGGCAGCATTTCAAATAAACAAGCAAAATATTCTTAAAGTTAGGTGAAACTTAACAGATGCTAAGTTAAGCTATGCAGGAACTCTACTCTCCAGGCCTTCCCTTGTTTATTCAATTCAATAAAAATGTCTCCATCAGTTTGAATGAAGAGGCTGCTTTACAGAGCCACTCATATGGAAAGGACAATGGAAGAAGGCTGTTGACCCAGGTGCAGATATTGAAAGACCATTGGATCTCATGAGATGATAGGGGCTGGGACCAAATTTTGGATGGGGCAGTCAGGCTAAAAGAGGTAGTTGTTCTAAGCTAGAAACCAAGAGAGTGTGAGTTTTAGTCTTGCCTTAGACAGGAAAGCCAGCTGGGTGATTTTTGGCTTTTCTCTCAGCCCAACTTATCTCACAGGGTTGTTGTGAGCAAAATAGGAGAAGAAATCAGATACGTTTCTGCCTTGAGTTATTTATAAAAATCATAAAAATAGAGAGAGGGGGGGAGGGAGGGAGGGAGGGAGGGAGGGAGGGAGGGAGGGAGAGGGAGAGAGGGGAGCCCTTGAGAGGAACATCACAAGCTTTCTTACTTTTAAATCCCGTCATCCCTGAGAAATAACGGTTTTCAGGCTATGTGTTGGAAAGCCAAAGGTTCTTTGATTCAGTAGAACGTTGAGGTGCTGAGAAGCTGTGTTTGTTTGGTGTGTTGTATAAGCCCAATCCATTGTAACTAATTCAATAAACCAGGTAAAATTGTGTCTTGTGTGAACCAGGGGAAGGGAACTATATCTGTATACCTGTATTGATTTGACAGGAACAAGTAAGTGGGAAGGTTAAAGATGAGTACGTCACAATGTGAGAAAGGGGAAATTTCAATAGCTTAAGACAAAATCTTAATTGGAAAAATGTTCCCTTTTAATCCAATTGCCCTACTCAGGTCCAGTCCTATCAAGAGGACAGATACCGTCTCTGTTCTCAAAACAGGTCTAAGATGCACCAGGAGAGACAAGCAAGATTCTTCCCCTTGTATGTTCTGTAGGAAGTACTTTTATTTTTATATGCCTAATAGAGGTTTTTATATGCCTAATAGAGACAAGTATTGTTTCACTGTTTGAGTGCATGAGTGTCATAATAATTAACAAACTTGGAAACATGTCTTGATGTTTGTTTCAGTGGAGCTAACAGGAAAAGATCAAGCAAAGATGAGACGTATTGGAAGGAGATCAATGCAGCGATGGCCTTAACCAATCTTGCCCAGGGAAAGGACAAACTGCAGGGTACAACCAGCTGTATCATTCAGAAATCCTCACACATATCAGAAGTGAAGACAGTCAAAGTTCCACTAGTGCCAATGCCATTTTAAGAGAAAATGTGATTTCGCTATCTTTTTCATGCTGTTCATTTTCTTGTAAGATCACAAAAGATCTAGAATAGGGATTGAAGCTCCTATTGTAGTCTGTGACAGTCAGGACGAATAAGAATGAGCGTAGCTCACCGAAAAGGTCTCACCAGCAAGCACTAGCAAAAAGATCCTGAAGAGGTTTGTGTGGTTCTCATTCATTTTCTTCTTTGCGAGTAAAAGCTATTCCCAATAATTTGTGTTCTGTTATGGTACAGTAATCAAGAAATACTCTCTCAGGCTAAATTGTTTCTTAAATAACATGTCAGTTATGGGGGGGGGGGAAGTCCCCTGCATTTTTCTTCTTAAGTCAAATTATTAACTTATTTTATTGTATTAATCACGCTGCACATTAAGCATCTGCATTGCTATAACAATAAGTGCCTTGCTTTCTTACAGTAAGCTACAACGTGGGCATAGCTTTAGACATCTGTGCCTCAAAATGTCAACCACCCAACACTTAACCTTGCATGTAGTTCTAAGTGCATCCTGGCCATTCAAAGCTGACGTCAGAAAGGGTATTATTGCTGGTTTGAAGCCCTCAGACCTTTGGTTTATCTGAATTAGAGATCCAGTAATATCTAAAATGAAATTGCTATATTTTACCATGGAAGAAAAATTGATTATTACCAGGCAATACTCTGCTTTGCTCAAGTGAAATCAAATTGCTATATTTTGTTTGATAAGATACCAATTGAATTATTTTGATAAGTGTGATAGTATGACTTCAAGAGCTTGGGGTCCAGATTAAAAAAAAGAAATAAACCTCAGTCATTTTAAGAAGCATTCTAACATCAAGCACATTTATAGGAGATATGAAGCAGCCTTCGTTTCAGGTGCTTTGCAATTTGGATGTTGTTGTTTCTCAAAATGATTAAAAAATACAGTGCCTCTTCTTTCACTGACTGCTCTTTTTACTCTTATTATTGTTGAGCATGAGAGCAAGATAGCAGGTCAAAGAGAAATTAAATCTCACCTATGAAAATGTTCTTGTTCTTAGCTTTATATAGTGCTTAATTTTTTTTTACATGAAAACTATCCTGTGACAGCTTAAGAGTTGTTCTTGTTGCAGTAAAGCTATCAATAAATCCAGTATAGAGTCCTCCCTTTTGAAGTCTCCTTTAGATTTATTGAAACTGTTATGTAAGTAAACAAAGCAGCTCACTTTTTTGGTACCAAATCAATCTATGCTTCAGTTTATTATTTACATTGGAGCTCTGTAACTTTCCACGACGGAAACCGTTATTGCCTTAATGCATCCAAAATGTTTTTATTTTGGTATGGAATGTATCAAATGAAGGCAATCCCCATTTCAATGAAGGAAAAAGGGCATAATGAAATCTATATATTATATAAAGTGAAAAGCCTGAATTAAAAACATGTGGGGTACACAACAGACAAAATTGTGGCACTGACTCAATTTAAAGTTAAAATAGATGCTAAATTAGGCATTAAAAACAACATTTTAAACCCCTAGATTTGACTGCCATTGAGTCAAGTGAATTGTATAAAATAGTTTTTATGGAGGTGTATCAAATTTTTCTTCAACCATCCAGAAATGTTCTAATCAGGTTCCTTCCCTTATGTAAACAACAGTAAAGCTCCAAATAGTTTATATTGAGTGGTAAAAGAAAATTAGAGAAAAAAGTTGATTGTTAGAGTTTGTTTAGCAAAGTTGAAACCAAACTTATTTTCCTTTGTTTGAATGTTACATTTGAATAACAATATCCAGACTAAATTGTAAACCTAGTTTTGAGAAAATATCATTTAACCTCTAATCTTGCTTTTTTCCCCAGCCTAGCTATATATAGCCAATAAAAAGAAAAAAAAAAAATCAGTATATGTTAGCTGAGATAGACAAGGCAGAAACAATGTTTAATTCCTCATGTTCTCACCTGATGGAATTCTCCCTCTAAAAGGAGTGGGTGACCTGTACCCTCTGCAGCCTTAGTTCTTTGGCGGCAGTATTCAAATCCTACTTGACCATAATTCCCCCAAATGCAAAGCACCCTTCCCACCACTTCAGAGTGTAAAAAGCATGAAAATGGTAATATAATTTCTAATATAGAAATATCCCAGTGGAAGGAACAAGGAAACAGCTTTTCCCTTACATTCCGTCCTGACCATTTGATATGGAGTCATGGTGTGACCCTTTCAACACTCTGGTCCTTAGCCTCCCTAAAATGTTCAATATCCACCAGACTTTTGCCTACTTTTACCTGATATGGTCAGGTTTATACATCCATGAGGTGTTCTTTGTGTATAGGACTCCTAGCAGAAGAGCAGGTAAGAATGAATTAATACTTTGACGTGTTCATACAGCTCTGCATAGAATTCTTTTAATATGTGCTAATTTTCTGGATTCTTGGCAGTATAACCAATCAAAGTAAGCCAGATTAAATCTAACCTGGATTACAAAATCAACCAGGTTTCATTCTTAAACTCTGTTGGGAGGGTAGGTAACCTTGTGAACAATTCAAAGCTTTCTGTTTTAAATAAAAACTACCGCATGTCTAAATTGACTTCTAATTTCCTGATCATGGACAGCACTGTGTAGGGTCCTTATAGGACAGTGGTTCTCAACCTTTTTAATGCCGCGACCCCATAATACAGTTCCCCATGTTGTGGTGACCCCCAACCACTTATACATCACCGGGTGCCAGGGTCGTGGCCAAAGAAAAGGGGGGAAAAGTGGCGGACAGCCTTGTTTGGCGACCCCTGTGAAATGGTCGTTCAACCCCAAATGGGGTCCCGACCCACAGGTTGAGAACCACTGTTATAGGAGGAAGATAAGTGGGGGTTAAATTGTGCAAGAAACATCTATAGTCAAAAGAAGCTTCCTAAGTCACCATGTATACATGGAAGCAGTGGATATAGGCTGCAGAAGATTTGCACCTGTTGCACTCCCTCCATGTAGAGGGACATTCCTAGCAATGTGAGAGAGGCAGGAGAACCATCCCTTGATGAAGCTAACTTTCAGGTATGCAGAATGATTTTCAAGTGTAGCCAGTTCCAATTGCACTAATATAAACTAGCAGGTATCCGCCTTGATGTAACTTGTAGAATGCATCTTGATGTAACATAGAATTTTGTGATGATGGTTATTTCTAAACTGTATAGTTAAAATGATTTGATATGAAAAATATATATATTTTCTACACAAATATATATATATATATATTTACTTTTTTAGGGGCCGTTTTCATTGACATGAAAAAGCAGGAAATATACTGTATGTTATGACTGTATGAACAGCTGAAGTTTACTTTTGAATGATTTACATCATTATGCAAAAGAGATTTCCCCACACTTATGGCTTTGACAACCAATCTACTGGATTTTCTCATAACAATGTGAGTTTTTAAAATAAAAACAGAGAGTAAGTGCTTCGCTTTAGTTCATACTATTGTAAATTATTCTGCTATTAACTATTTTGTGAAAATAAACTGCCTTGCCAAACTTTTCTGTAAGATGTTTTCCATTTTGTTTTGTTTAAAAAATTCAAGTGAATGACAGTATCAACAAAATTACTAATATGTGGAAGAAAGAATGAAGATAAACCCAAAGAATAAATGTTACTATACAAAACAAGGCTGGTGTGGATCACGTGATTCCTTTTTGAGGAGAGGGGCTAAAAAAAAAGAGATTCATGTATACTGGTTCATGTAAGCAAGACCGTCTATTCTGGGGTGCAGTCATTTGGGGATCTTGACATCTGCCTTTTCTGTGGTGGCCTGAATACAAATATAGAGGGTCTATGAGGGTAACTGAAATCCCCCATTGTTGCAACTTGTCTTTTGAATGCCCTAATTTTGTAGTATAACTAAATATTGCTACCAGCCAAGTTTATAGCATCTTCAAATTTAATTCAATGGAGAAACACAAGTAAGAGTATTATTTCTGGATTTCAAGAGTAAATGCAAACTACGATTCCTAGCGGCATTTGAGTGTGACAAACAGTCAATCCAGAAATTCCATGATCTTTATTTAATCAATGTATACAGCTGCCTATTTTAACAAATGTTTCTGGGTGGCAAACAATATTAAAATAAAATTTAAAAGTTACATCCCCAAATACCATACAAAAAGTAAGGCAAATATCGCAACCAACATTTGCTAACACAATCAGGAGATGGAATCTTTTTTATACTCAGAGCCTCAGGTCCCAAACCAGGTCAGCAAGGTTGGGCCATCTTAATTCCCCAGAGATAGATCAGATAGAGACTAAGGCAGAAAGGGCTCACTTTCTGGGCTTCATCAGATAGCATGTCCATCCTGATCAATTGGATGGTAGAAATAACCAGGTGGAGATGGTCCTTCAGGTATAAGGTACAGGGAAATAATTGATGTTGTGTTGTTTTATTATCTTCTATGCCTGAAGACAACTATGTCTGGGCATTTCTGAAGTTCCAATTAGATGAACAGATAGGATAGTGTCAAATGATTTCTAGGCAATGAAAAGTAAAGCTAAACATTTGTGTGATATTTTGTTTTTTTCATTTTCCCTGAATTTAATCCTTCTACTGCCACAAATATAAGCATCAGAAATATGCTCAGAACTGAGTCTCAGTTATTTATCAGCAAACTTGCTGGTCTTTGCCTCAGCAGGCATGCTCATTTTAATAACATAAACAACTTAAAAAATATATCCCCTCATGCTAGTTTGGAAACAAATTTTGATTCCAAAAGTTGTTGATTTCAAATACCTATTCTGCTCAGCTTGCTTCTCAGTATTGGAGATACAATTAAACAGAAAATTAAGCATGCCGAGGACCACTGATTTCATAGGATATAAGCACACTTAATAAGGTTTGGGCTGATAGCCCAGAAGTTTATAAAGAAGTGTTCAAGGAATTAATGGTGGGTAGTAATGAGCTTCCTTATAGCAACAAGTGGTTTCTATAATTTCTATATAGAAATTCTTTATATTTCCAAAACCCTAAGAGATGGGGACTAAAAACTATTTCAGAGTTGTGTTCAAGTGTTTGAAAGATAAGCCTAACATGTTATGATACAGGAATATGTGCCAAAGCTTTGGGCTGCTTTAAAAGCATTGAAAGGACATGTGTGTCATATTCTGATCTTTTATGTTTTTGGTCCTGGCTCAACAACTGGTAGTTTGCTTTCACTGCCAGTTCAGTTTCATCATCTATTGTTAAAAAAAACTATTACTGAATTGCACTGACCCAACTAGACCCCAAATTACCTTGTTGCATGGCAAGTTTAGAAGAATAATGGTTCAAGAACACTGTGTAGTTTGTCTAGTGTTCTCAACATCTTCCATGAAGTTGAGATTTCAGGGCAAGAAATATTACAGTTCTATCTGTTCATTTCTACCTCCTTTGTCTCTTTCTGACTTACCAAATAGGGCTACTTTACTGTTTTCCTGGAGGGACCCATTATAGAGGTCACAAAATGTTTGCAATGGAAAAATAAGAGGTATATCTATATTTATTGAAAGTGTCCTATAGTCTCTATTTTCTAAAGGGAGGCTAATTTCCTAAAAAATCCATGCATGTCCCAGAAAGCTTGCTTGAGAGAGAAGCCAAAGCATCTACAGACAAAATGCTATGTTTACATTCAACTAATTGTCATTAATAGCAGTGCTTTGGGTATCAATTAAATTAGGAGAAGAGATCAGGAGAATCTGGAATAGTCCTGTCATCATTCTCATAAAAACATTTAGGTGAGGCAATTTTATCAAATCAGTAATGATTACTGAGTATAATTTAGGACAAATGCAGGATAAAGGCAGAGCTGAGGTTTCCAAATTCTATTATCAATCACTAATTGATAGTGATTAGCATTAATTAAGAAAGTAGACGGGAAAGGCCATGGATACACAAATTGATAGATTTTCCACATCTCAATCTTTAATCTCCCCAACTCAAATTCTTTTAATGCAACTATCATATCTGCTTGGTCAATTGGCAATGGATATCAGACCTATCTCAATGTAGCTATAAATCAATGCACCTGAATTTTTCAGCCATTGTGGTCTGGTTCCCTAATGGATGAGCTCATTCGTCTTGTTGAATCTTTTTTCAGATAATTTTATTTTCCATTCTGTTCTTTGGATAGGATCCCAAGACTTTCTCTTTTTTTCTCTGCCATTTCTTGGAGATGTACTAATGCTGCACAGGTTTTTTTAAGCTGGATATCCATCTTCTGCAAAAGTTTTATTTATAACTACCTAAATAGTTGTTATTAGTGCTCTCTGTTGATAGACTGTCTTCTTTCCAAAGAACGTCATTTAAACAGCAGACTTAGTCTGCAAAAACAAAAACCCTCCTCTATGTTCAGTGTAAGAAAATTATCATCCCAGCAGATGCTCAGAAGATGTATGTCTGCAAGTGTTTAATGTGATCAAGAATAACTTAGAGACTTTACTCAACATGTCATTGTCCAAAAAGAGTTCACATCTTTTAGCCATTCTGGCTGGGAACAGGAATTTCAGTCCTAACACATCTAGAAGGCTGATTTATGGTCTTATACATGGATTTTCAAACTTGGCAAGGAGAATTCTGGAACTTGAAGTCCACATCTTGAAGTTGCTTAGTTTGAAAAACGTAGCTTTAGTATATGATATTAATAATATACCTCCCTCATGATGTGCAAGTTATTTTTACAACTCCTTTGAAATCAAGCTGATGATGATGAATGAAGAAATACTATACATACAGCTAGATATATAAATATTTCTTTAAAGGAAGGTCTTGTGAAATCTGACAGTGCACAAAACCCTGACTGGCAATTGACTTGCAGCAAGCCAGTGAAAATTTCACAGTGACTACTGTTCAGATCCATTCATGTAAAGCATTCATGTAGATCAAATCTAGCCTCTTGTGCCACTGAAAGTTCATTTTTATAGCCTAGCAGAGCCCTCCTCCTCTTTCTCCTGTCATGCCTTGGCAGCAGCAGATTTGGATGTGTCAAACAGCCGTGTTTATTCATCCCAGGCCTGGGTCAAGTTCTTTCTTGCTAATCTTAGCCAATCAATTCTCAAGGTGCTAAGACATCAAGTGTGCACCAGCTTGCAAAATTGCCTCACCCAACTTTTGCCCTCATCTATCACTCTGTACTTAACCATTAGTCCTTGTGGCTAACTTAACTCCCTAAAGGAGTGTCATTCTAACCATAACTACCTAAAACCTGCCAAGTGCTGTTTTATGAGCTGCTGCTGAGAGTTTTAAGGTTGATTTTTCAACAATTTTCACTGGCATTTGATGGTACATGCTTGATTTACAATGCTGTAAATAAATAACCATAAATAAGAGGCATTCCTTTCTTTTAGGATAATGCAATATGACATTCTTTTGAGACAGAGGAAAAGACAGATTTCTAAAGAGGTTCTGAAGTTTAATTCTGAGTCTGTCATGAACCTGTAGGAGGGCTGTCGAAACAGAAACCTCTTTATGTAAAAGCAAAACAAAAAACAAAAGCTTCATGATATCAGGGAAAGAAAGGGCTCTTCAAAATAAGGAAGCACCTGCTAATGACAAAAGGGCAAAATGTGGGAGTTGAGAGATCTGAACTGGTGGCAACCTCTGCTGAGAAAAGCTTCATTTGTCCAGCTGGACAAGAATTTCTTATGGGTTTGTCCAGCCACCTTTCTGTATTTTCTGGGCCACAGAACATATAAAAGACACTGAATCCCTGCCTGTGTGTAGGAAAGCAATCAGCAGTTTCTTTGTGACCAACATTTTAAAAAGTTCAGCTGAAAAACAAAAGGGGGAGAGGGCACATTATAATAATAATAATAATAATAATAGTAGTAGTAGTAGTAGTAGTAGTAGTAGTAGTAGTAGTAGTAGTAAAGTTGGAAGGGACCTTGGAGGTCATCTAGTCCAACCCCCTGCTCGGGCAGGAAACCCTACACCATTTCGGACAAATGTCTGTCCAGTCTCTTCTTAAAAACTTCCAGTGTTGGAGCATTTACTGCTTCTGGAGGCAAGCTGTTCCACTGATTAATTGTTCTCACTGTCAGGAAGTTTCTCCTTAGTTCTAGGTTGCTTCTCTCCTTGATTAGTTTCCATCCATTGCTTCTTGTCCTGCCTTCAGGTGCTTTGGAAAATAGCTTGATTCCCTCTTCTATATGGCAGCCCTTGAAATATTGGAATACTGCTATCATGTCCCCCCTTGTCCTTCTCTTCGTTAAACTAGACCTACCCAATTCTAGCAACCGTTCCTTATATGTTTTAGCCTCCAGTCCCCTAATCATCTTTGTTGCTCTTCTCTGTACTCTTTCTAGAGTTTCAACATCTTTTTTACATCATGGTGACCAAAACTGGATGCAATATTCCAAGTGTGGCCTTACCAAGGCATTGTAGAGTGGCATTAATACTTCATGTGATCTTGATTCTATCCCTCTGTTAATGCAGCCTAGCACTGTGTTGGCCTTTTTGGCAGCTGCAGCACACTGCTGGCTCATATTTAGGTGATTGTCTACTAGGAATCTGAGGTCCTTCTCACAGTTACTACTATTGAGCATGGTGCCACCTATGCTGTACTTGTGCGTTTGGTTTTTCTTGCCTAAATGTAGAACCTTGCTTTTTTCACCATTGAATTTCATTTTGTTAGTTAGTGCCCAG